TCGAAGTGCATATTTACATTGTATTTTCCTTCAGACTTTGGACACATCATTTGTTATGATGTCAAAATGACTTAACTATTACTACAAATAAATTTTCATTTTTATCTACGCGAAATCTCTTCCATGTTCACCGCGGAAATAAATCATTTAAAATATCGAAGAGGCTATGAATGACGATAATTAGTAATGGAATTCGAATCTTCATATGTATTAAACATATTTATCAAATTATTTTGTTTAAAATTTTCTTAAATGTCAACGAAATAGAAATTTGTTTTAAAACAGCTTAAAGAGCTCAACTATATCCATATTCTATGCCATGTAGAACCTTCAATCTTTTTGTGCGATGAGTTTTTATCTTTAAAACTCCTTTTGAACTTCGTTTAAAGTATGTACCAAAATTAAATTCAATCGACGACTTTTACAGTGAACTCCCATCGGAGTCCACAGAATATTTTCGGAGCAGAAACATGGAAAAGGCGCGTAAAACCATCCTTAGTCTTGGATCTACCCTCACTTTTTATAAAAGCCTTCAGTTCTAACCGCTATATAAATACTACAGAGTTTCTAACCAACGTGGCCATGAAGGCCGGAAATAATAGTTCCAGCGCTAAACGAGAGATGGCATATTCTTCAGAAATATGATGATACCTGAGGTCTCTTAACCCTTTAAGTTACAGTGGTAATTATATTTACCCTCGGCTTTAAGATGGTTCCGAAATTGAGCGTCTAGTCCTGTATCTTCAACATGGTGACGGTAATGACAAGAGGTGAGCTGAGCAATAACGTATCAAGTTTACTTACCCAGAGGCCGAAAATCCCGACTGTATTCTTGGTGCTCCTCAGACTGTCCAGTCAGATGCTGAAATACTATTTTACACTAAACCGCCACCTTCCTTCCTGATCCGTAATCATACTAATAATCGGGATTATATGGCCTTCACAGATGATAAAGCTTTGTTAACTAAATTAAGAAATAACAGACCTTCCGTAGAAAAGTAAATGGTTTTGATATCGCCCCAGAATCCTTAGTGAGGCTCTTCGTGATGTTTCTCATATGTTAGAGGAACATTCTGACAGCTCACAACAACTTTCTTCCACATCTGTCTTCATTCGCCATTTATAATCATTCTGTTTTCGTCAGCACAGTATAACTGATGTAGAGCTGCTAAATAAATCCGATATGAACTTGCGTTAAGACAGGAACCGACTGAACATTCCTGAATATATTTCAAGAACACCATTACTGATTCCGTAAACATTCCTCATGACTCACTCACCATTCATTAAGTCATTATGTTCGGTAGCTACGTATCTACTTCACATGAAACAGTGTCGTTAAATAGCATCTGGTGTCATGGTAGACACTGAGCTTTTATAGCTATGCTATAAAGCTTGGCCCACTCGCAGCTAATATGTATCAGATATTAATTTCATTATGATGAATTAATTATTACTAAGTCAGTGTAAGTAAATGACACAGGCCTACCATAAATTATGACGACATTGCGAATAACTCTTACTCTCCAGCTTCATTAAACCACCCTGTTACGAGCAGAATTCAGCATTAACATCCTCCTGCAATGAAGCAGTCAGTATACAGCTATATTTCATTTTGATACTAAACTCACAGATGAATATAACGAGCCATATTTATTATTTGCCAGTATAAACAATTATATTATCGAAAGATCCTTACTCCGAACTCAATACCATTCCTAGTTTCTCCTTTATGCATTCACAGCTTATTCAAAACTATAATTTTGCATGCTATTTGTGTAGGTGTTAAACTCTGCTAATTTGCGAAGAATATATAGTTTGAGGATACTTGACAAAAGGATGATAAGAACAGTATTTCGTCGTAAAATGGATTAGGTGGCGGGAAACTTGAGGCAATTGCAAAAAGAAGGGAGAATCGATAGTGGCCTACTTTGAACTCTTTCCATGCTGTTTAAGAAATATCTCACTTGGAAGCAATGGACCTCGCGTGCGGTCTCCACATATTTTTTTTTTAAAAAGTTTGGGAAGATCATGGAATTATCAGACGCTCCTCGCCAGTTACAGCCAGCCATTCGTGGTCTGTTAACAATAAATTATATCTTACTGTGGGCGAAAAGCAGAAGAAGAAGGTTTTCTTAATAAACACTGTCGTGGGAATGGTTATGATACGTTCTGTCACTTGTGTATACAAACAGGAAGATCTAAAAACATCTGATTTCAATATGGGACGATACTTGAAATAACTAAAATAAGAACTGACCACTACGATTTCAAATAAGTTGATTATTATTATTGCTCGGAGAACAATTTCGATTTCAAAACAGGTAGTATTTCAATATGGGACGATACTTGAAATAACTAAAATAAGAACTGACCACTACGATTTCAAATAAGTTGATTATTATTATTCCTCGAAGAACAATTTCGATTTCAAAACACAAACCGATGTTTCAGCAGAAAACTGAGCTCCTAGGTAATACACAGAATGTGCTTTACTGACATTAAAATATAATCTCCACACTTATGGAAATATTTTGCTAGTTCTGCTTCTGTATAGCAAACCGTAATAGATACTTTTTATCGTTAACAACAAACTCTTAAGAAGTAAATACATAACAAAGAAACATAAGTACAAATAAAACAAGACCGACAGAGAGAAAGAAGCTGGCAAGATATTAAAAACAGGAAGTGAAGATAATATTCTACTCGATATTGATCGCATTCGTACCCTTTGCTTGATTCTCACCCCCTACCCTCCATTCACATTAATGGGGCCGCTGGATAAAGGAAGCAGTTGGATTACTGCAGACTAAGGTTAATAACACGATCCCATTGTACTGCTCACATTCACCCACTCCGCGGTGTTACTGCACCCTTCTGCGCCCTAGACGCACAGCAATTACACAACACGTGCATGGCTTCGATACCCAAGATTGCATATTGTTTTAAACCACAACGTGACTGAACACACAGAATACATGGATAAGCTTGTATTTAGAACCCTAGTGGTGTCAAGGCGTGAAAGATGGACGAAAGGCAGTTCTCTTCGGATACTTTGCGTATCTTTCTGTCTTCGAAATGAAGAGTATTTTGTAAGGTTTCGAGTAATTTTATTACTGCTGAAGAAAATTTTCAGTGTGAGTGTGTCCATTCTAAGTTCATTAAATTCAAATTTCCCCGGCAACGCAAAAGAACAAGGACAAATTATTTACTTCACAAAGGTATACACCTAACTCACATAATACGTGATAAAATGAAATTAGAATGTCTTTCGTACAAAAAATATATATAGTATCATAGGGCATCATACTCCCAAGCGAAGGTTATTCCCAACACCAACAGAATTATATACTAGGTTCTGCAAAATACCCACCGCGTCTCTTCAGCTCACGCAGGTACCTTGGGAAATTAGCAACCAACTTGAGGTGGACATCCCACGTTCCAGAGACAGAGACAGCAACCAAGTTTCAATCTCCCGAGAGCCAAGGCCCTATCCAAAATATTGGCATCTAGCCCTGTGTTACACCAGCGTATTAAATAACCCTTTGAAGGGAGAAGCTCGTCTGAATAATGTCTAAAATTTGGACATCGGCTTTCAAGAAAATTCAGCACGTCATCGTTAAAAGTTGTGGGTCCTGAATAAAAAGAATAACGTTTCTACTCATTTCAAGATTATAACTGACACAAAGTCAATGCTAGGATTTACATTCCTTGTACCAGCAGATGATCAATAAATACACTATTTCTGAACACTGCTTGCCACTCCAGTGCTTCTAGTTGTTACAGTAACCACAACTCCTTAAATATGAACTTTTCTTAAATCCTGTACCCTTATAATGTAAGAAAATATTGGGATATTGGTAGACAGATAATGATTTTACAACAAAATCCAGGGTTAATCTACGCCAAAATTATACAGAACACCAAAATTGTATCATTAACTGCATGGAGTAGAATTCTTCTTGAAAAGCTTCCGGTCGTTCAGTTAGTCAAGAAGCTTCCATCATTCTACACAATCCCAAGGTCCATTAACGTGTTCACAAAAGCCTGCTTCTAGACAATATTCCGAGTCGGATTTAGTACAAATCCTATTTACTTGGAAACCAAAAATCTATACCTGGGTCTGCCTGCCGATAAATTTCCTTCAGACTTTCGACAAAATTTCTATGTGCATCTCTTATGTCTCCCATGCGTTCCATACGCCCCTCCTTGATTTCTCCGTTCTCCTACTACATCCTCCCTCTTAGGTTCAGATATTTTCCTCAGAGTCAGAAGCAAAATCTTGGACTCACATAAAACAATACGTAAAATTAAAGCTGTTCCTTTATGTTTTTAGATTAAAGATTAGAAAACGAACTATTTTAAACTGAAAGATAGCCAAGAGGTTATAACAGCGCTACGTTTGAGAGAAAATCATGTTGCAAGATTTCAAAATCAAAATATTAGACTCAAAAGAGACTAACGTTTATGAATCGAAGAAAATCGTCACCTATATAATCAGTCACTGTACCGAACTTAAACAGAACGTGCTTCACGCATGGCGGAAACTCTAAAATCCAGGTTCAATATCTTGCGGGTGAAACCGGGTATAAAAATGAATTTAGAAGACCACGAAGGGGATACACAGTTAATATTATCGGTAACGAGAAAGAACTGTGATGATTAATGTGTTCATAATATTGTTGTGTCCTCAAATCTCGCAGAAAGTACAGCAGATTATTATTCAATCAATGTAACCCACATAGGAGTGTAAACAGAGCAGGCAGAAATAATACACATAGCATGGAAAAGTGCTCCATCATCTCGTGTGTAAACAGGAAGGCCTTTTTCGGAAACATGTGACACTAATGCACGAAACTGATCATTCTCGTTTCTCACTCTTTCTTACACGCGGTATAAATAAATGACGAAGCAAAGTAGGATGGATGACCGATGCGACTTGCCTGCTCGTAGCGGACATATAAAGAGGCAGCAAAGATGGATGCTGTATCATTCAGTTACTGGCCATCAGCCAAGCTGTATGATTGTCATCTGAAGGCTACGGAATAAGTACCGTGTGATTACAATGGAGTTCTTCGAAACAGCTGTCTCTGCTCTACTTGGGTTCATGGCGGCCACAGTGTTCATTCTCTATTGGTTTTCAACTTCTACGTTTCATTACTGGAAGAATAAAGGAGTGAAGTCGTTGAAACCATCACCACTCTTCGGGAACATAAAACATTTCGTTTTATGTAAACTTTCACCATCTGAGGTATTTCAGGATTTGTACAATAAGTTTGATGGGGAAAGGTATGGAGGTATCCACCTGGCTCGAAAGCCAGTGCTTTTAATTCGTGATCCCGAACTTATGAAGCACATACTTTTAAAGGATTTTGCATATTTTCCTGGTAAAGGAAATCATCCGGACTTAAAAAAGGACCCACTTTCATACAACTTATTCAATCTTGAGGGAGAAAAGTGGAAATATATCAGGACAAAACTGACGCCAGCATTTACACCAGGTAAACTGAAAATCGTGTATCAACATATTGATCATTATTCTGAAAAGCTTATTGAACACTTGGAAGAACACGCAAAGAATAAAGATATAATTGATATGTACAATATATTGGTGAATTTCACAATGGATGCAACTGGTTCATGCGCTTTCGGGGTGGAGGCAAATGCAATGGATGACGAAGATTCGGCTTTCAAGAAAATGGGTCATCGTATCATACATGCTAATGGCAGTACATACATTGACATTCTGGAATCTATTTTCCCGATTCTGCCAAGATTTTTCCGAATATCAACTTTTCCTCGTGACGTCACAACTTTCTTCCAAATGGTTATTAAGAAAATCATGGAATATCGAGAACAGAATCACATAATGAAGAAAGACGTAATGCATCTGTTGATGCTCGCCAGAAACAAGACAGCTGACGACAGCAACAATGAAGATACTCAAGAGTGTCTACAAACGGGCAACGAAAAGTCATCAAACATCAGAGATGAAGGTAAGAACAAAATCAATACATTTTATAAATAAATAACTCATTGATACAGAGTTTTCAAATATTAAAAATGTTCAAGACGTTCCCAGGTTTTTATAAAAACGTAATGTTTCCGACCATAATAAAAAACGCCCTCCATTGAAGAAAGTTAAAACCAGCTCATATCTTAACATCCCCTTCCCCTGACATCATTTTCAATATTATACTTCATCAATGTCTCGGCCTCTCAGGAGTGGCCTCTTTCCATGAGGATTCCAAACCAAACTGTGTAAGCGTATCGTGTGTCCTCCAGTAATGCTACATTCCCTGTCCATCGTAACCCCTGATTATACCATTCTGTCATTCCTAGTAAAGAATAACCTGCAAGGTATTTAGACCATCGTCAGGAATTACATAATAGATCATCTTCCTCGAGACCTAATGCCAACACCACTTCATTTTCGTGTTCTTAAATCTTTCTTTGTTCCACAGGGTGACAGATTAAAGCAGTAGATAAAATTATGATTTCAAAATTTTCTGCGTTTCACTCATAAGATGCTAATTTTCATCGTAATTACAACGGAAAAAGTTTTCATACATACATTGACAATCGTAGCCGAGTTAGACGCACTGTCGGCTTGTAGGTTATCAACATTTTAGAGGAACATTTCACATCCTTGTTCAAGACTGATGGCCTCCTTCACCACGAAGATGGAAGTGAAATGTTCCTTCGAAACGCTGGTAATCATCTACATGATCCCAAATCGCTAAAACCCGGAAGACAATCATATTCAAAATTAAAATACGCGCGCCTTTACACTTAATGTTTTGCAACAGTCAGAGACGTACGAAAAAACTGCTTCAGGATCCGAATACGTCATTTTTCGGGATGTTCAATCTTCCTAACTCATTGCCGTTCAAAATTGTATCGAGTTTTCGCCTATACGTGCCTACAAAGGGTAACTGGGTGTGCAGGATATGTTCACTCACGTAATTATTGTCAGATACATGTCGCAGGTTTCAATGAAGCAGTGTTGACAGCTCAAGCTGCCATGTTCCTCCGAGCGGGCAGTGAGAAAGCGTCCACAGCCATGAGCTTTTGTCTGAACGAACTGGCCCTACAGCCGGCGCTGCAGTCCGAACTTCGAGCCGAGATTGAGGCAGCGAAGGAAGAGCACAGTGGTAAACTGACGTACGAAACAGTACTTGGATTGAAGCTGCTGGACAGGGTTGTATCAGGTGCGTACTCGCGATACGATTATTTAACGACGATGTATCGTTATGTTATTAAGTGTTTAATGACATGGGAGATTTACAATGAACTGGAAATGTCTAACCAAAGGTAATATTCCAGAATTCGTCTGGAAGAACTGAGGAGAATCAGGGAAAAGTCAAAACAGCAAATCCATAACCGAGACTCGAGTCGCGTACTTAAGAAATAAATGTCAGACGAGCTATGCCTAACCGAGCTCCTCGTTTGTAGAAATCAATAAATTATCGTCGATTCAGTTACAATGATGATTACGAACGCTGAACAAGAAATGGAACTTTAGAATAAACGGTCGTGACCATTTCAAGGTATCAAGGCATTACCATAAATGTACTTGGAAAACTACGAGTAGCCTTAGTCACGAAAGCCTTAAGTTCTTCAAATGACTTTTTCTTTTGGCATTGTTACAATAAATACGAATGCAACACACGAAAAGCAGACTTGCGTATCTCAATACACCACACACTCGTCAAATGATTCACTTTACTGGGATAATTACGAATGAGAGCGGAGTGCGGTAACTATTCGTCTCGCGGGACTAAAATTGCTATGTAGTACTCGTCCCTGTGACTGAACCCTTAACCATCTGATTACGAAGCTGTATCATGAGATTCTTTAAAAAGATTTTTTAAAGTGACAAATACTTGTGAGATAAACGAAATTTATCAGTTACAGAATTAATAACTAATGACATAGGCTATAAATAAATATCCCATCAAAATTATAAGTAAATCATGATTGTCGTAAAACACGTATTCTTGTCCTCGGCAATAGTTAGGAGTGACTGGGCAGCTTCACTCTTCAGTCGCCTTATCCCCAAAGAAAGGCTCACAACCCCGGCACCTGCTGTATGATAGGATGGGTATATATACATTAATAAAACATGGTGAAATATTTTAGTTATATAGACTTGTAAAATTATTTCCGCTGTTATTTTACACTAAACCGAGCATTTTGTGAAGTTGCACTATTTTCTACAGTCTCTCGGTAGTAGCAAATAACTCAAAATTGAAAAATTTGGTAGAGGTGATAGCGGAAAGAAATCATCCAATCGTCCGATCCCGAAATTGTATTTCTGGCATTTTGATACGAAACAGATGCATTACCCGCCAGCTGCGATGTAAGCATGTTTCATAAGAACATCCACATGCAGAAATGTGGGCAAAGAAGTCTCAACTTTTTCTTTCCTAACTAAAAATACATTTCTTGGCTTCAGATCTCAAACGATATGATGTAAATAAAAGCTATTCGATCCTGACAGATTTATTCCACGTCTGAGCCCCCACAAAATCCGCTGTGCCGTGTCAGAAACATACACATTTCAACGGAAAATGCCTTAAGAATCTGCTGCCAAGTAAGTGCAAGGTCAAAGCGTACACAGACCCAATGTCATATCACAATAAAATCAATGTTTGTTTTGGACGGACATCGGAGTATGAGACTGAATAAGTAGTGGAAGATATTAATTAGTCTATAATCCATATTCATTTGTGAATTGAACATTTGTTTCCTTATAGCAGTTATGCCAGATTCAATGTCTACCAAGTGCCGCTTAAAAAGACCAGGAACCAAAACATGAGTTTAATTCAAAGTTTAAGCTTAAGATACAATTTTCATTCTTCTACTTTCCTATTGGCACACACGAATGTTAATTTAATTAAAACACATTTCCTCCTCATTCAATCCAAATCTTAAACAGTGGTACATTATTTGATGTGCATTTGATTTTATTCCATTTGAATTTAAAACCTATTAAAATTTGGAAACTTGGGACTGTGCATCGTGTATGGTTCAAAAACTGTTTAGGTTCGAATAAAGTATCTTAGAGAGTCGCATGTGATCCGACAAAACTGTTTAGGTTCGAATAAAGTATCGAAGAGAGTCGCATGTGAGCCGAGAGTTTGAATTCCTGCATTACAGTTTTGGACCGATCAAACACTGCGACCTCGGGTTGCAGTTCTGCCCCCATCGACGAATGTCAGGGTTGTTAGATTCAAGACCTGTAAAACTACTGACGTGGATAGACAATTTCGGCAACACGTCGCGTAAATAACAGAGACACGTGTGACTGGATCACAGTCTTACCCACTACAAATTATTACACTATGTTTTACTTCGTTACAAGATCTACACTACATTACACTACTAAAAACCAAATATACACTGCACTACCTCTATTATGCTATATTGTAATCAGGTATACCACACTGTGGATAAAACGTCTCAAAATTGTATATAATATATATAATTCTAATGGACATAAACACATTCTTTGATGCCTAATGAAAGCCAAACATAACTTTAACTTCCAAACTTACGGCGTCGACAAGCTATTGCGTTACTCTAAATATGTCATTTCAGAAACATTGCGGAAATATCCTCTGGAAGCCAGTATATTTCGAGTCTGCAAGAAACCATACAACATCCCTGGTACGTCAGTTCAACTAGACAAAGGTACCAGGGTTCTGATTCCGGTATACGCACTACACCATGATCCGAAGTATTATCCAGAACCAGAAAGATTCGACCCTGATAGATTCACAGACATTAATAAGAGCTCTAGGCAGCAGTTCACTTACCTCCCATTCGGCGAGGGACCCCGCGTATGCATAGGTAAGTGACAAATCAGCTAATTTACGATGCACGTACCACCAATACAGAGATACTTCTATTCAGTGCACTGAATTATGACATTACGTCATTGAATGAAGACATTTGTTTACTGCTTACCACGCAAACAACTCTCTACTTTCGCCAACAGATGGCAGAGTAAATGCTTTTCAATAACAAAGTCACAGCTATAAGTGCTAATGTCGAATGATCTTGAACGTGGATTGGTAAGGATATGGAATAAGGAGGTCGTTACGAATCTGAAAATATTATACCAGGATTTTCCAGCAGAAACATAAAGAATGACAAAAGTCCCACAATACCACATACCTACCCAGATTCCAACCCAGTACCTCCCAAACACCAGTCCAGAAAACTAACCCTCGGTTAAACAGAGTGCATCTGGAATAATGTTTCTTCATGTGACTATTATGTGCCTGTTTATTGAACACTCCTATGCTCCATTTCAAGTATGCCTGCTCAAGCCTTTAGTTACCTTCGGATATGTTACCCGTACTCCACCTGAGCCAGACTTTCTTTTATTCTAGTACTAATGAAGCTCAGTATATTTCAAACTAAATCCCATGTTTCTGAAAAGACTAATGAAGCTCAGTATATTTCAAACTGAATCACATGTTTCTGAAAAATTTCACATTGTAAAAGAGTATGTTAAATAAAATACATAAATCTACGTGATTTTAATTTAAAACTTTATTTGAAACATTTTTCTGTATAAACTTAATGAAACGCGAAGAAATAGAGTGCAGCATTTATAGTGCAATTAGCTTTGCAACATTAGATTTATGTCTACAGTAAACAAACATTAAGACAAACCCCAACTGGCCAAATAACTCCATGGAGTGAAGCCCTTCATGAGAAGCTAAAGACCACTCAGGTGTTCAAAAAATCCCAGACCTCTTATAAAGTTTGTCAGAACCTCAGAATACAAGTTTTTCATCCAAATAATTTAATTAAATGTCTTAATTTTACCTCTTCCAGGGTTCAGATATGGCATGCTACAGGTTAAGGTGGGCCTAGCCGCACTGTTGCTTCACTATGAATTCAGCGCATGCCATAAGACTAAGGCCTGTCCAGAACTCAACACTCGAACTTGGATCACTTCACCAGCCAGCGGAATGTGGCTAAGAATCCATGAGAGAAAGTGACGTTAGAATAAAAAGCCAGTACGTTTTCCAACTGAGAAAACAGACTTCACAGGACACGGTTAGATCGAACTATGGGCTTTAAAAAATTAGATTTATAATTATTTTATTTACTTAAAGGTATATATAAGTTACCAGGAATGGATTAGTCTACTGGGGATCATCAAACAATTTAATAATTTAATTGTATAGTTAAACCTGTTAATGATAACATTTTATCTTAGGCAATAATTTTATTATTTCTGTAAAACTAAAACAGTATATTTCTTTCCTGCCATTTGCTTCCAGTATAATCTGTGTTCATGATATGAACTCATATAAAAATACTAAAACCAATTAAAATTGCTACATTTAACATAAAAATTCACATTTAAACCACTTTTATTTCTGGAATTTCCAGTACCAATATGCCATTTGTTATCAAAGGAATCAGTACAGCATCTTTTGAATAGTAGTAGTAGTATAAGTTATTTTATATATAATTTATATATTATTCCTGCTTGTTGAAAGTATCCTTGTGCTTAAGCACTGCATACACAAAAATTACAATAAATAAATTCAAGTATTTGAGAAGAACAATAACAAATCAAACTTACATTCATGACAAAGTTAAAAGGATATTACATTCTGGGAGTGCTTGCTACAATTCAGTTCAAAAAGTTGTCTTCCTACCCCCAATACAAAAACCTAACCTAACATAACATAACCTAACCTAACCTAACATTACAATATAAAAATCTATAATGTTACATATTGTTTTATATGGGCATGAGAGTTGGTCTCATACCGTAAGAGGAGAACATAACATACACTCAGAGTGCTTGAAATCAAAGTGTTAAGATTATTTGGACCTTAACATACACTCAGAGTGCTTGAAATCATTATTTGGACCAAAGAGACAGAATGTAACAAGAGAATTTGGAAACTTGCATAATGAGAAGGATCATCACCTTACTAGTGTGAACAAATCAAAATGGAAGAGCTTGGCAGGACATGTAACACAAACAGATATGATTTGAAATGCATTCAGAATTTTACTTTGAAAATATAAATGGACAATATCAGGAATACATAGGTGATGAAAGAATAATATTAAAACAAAACATAAATAAATAAGATTGTAAGGTTATGGACACAATTCAAGTGTCTCAGTGGTGGTGCACTCTTGTGAATATGGTTATGAATCTTCGGGTTCCAATAAGAAGTGGTGATTTCCAGACAAGCTGAGTGATTGTCAGCTTCTTGTGAAGATCCCTGCTTCATGGAATTATTTGTTTAGTCAGTGAGTATGCAAATGTTAATTATAAAAGCTTTAAGTTATACTAATAACATTCAAAGCTATTAATGCTGAAGATAAGTTTAAACCTATACCAACATAATTTGAATTGATCTGTGTGATGAAGACATAACATAACCAACTGAAGTGGTGTCATAAGTGATGGTCCTGGATGTATCTAAATATCTTGCTGAGTTATTTCAGGTCAGTCACTGACAACACTTCTGATGGTTAGGTTTTACAGTAACTGTAACAGATATTTTACATTTGAATATTACATTTTTGTAAGTGTGCTTGTTTACTGACTAACTTTGTTTGAATATTACATTTTTGTAAGTGTGCGTGTTTACCGACTAACTTTAACAACATTAAAAGACTTATGTTCTTTAATTTTTCAGTTTTTATTCTTTTAATTAATGAAGAAGAAACATTTAAACCTTTCCCATAAGTGTGGAGTGTTTTGAAATTAACTTCTATGCACAAAAGTGCATATTTATCTGCCCTATACATGAATTCAGGTCTGAAACCCAGGTACATTTCTTTGCTCTGACCACAATGTCTAATTGAGATGCTAGTTTATACATAATTTGATAGATGTGATATCCAATAAGAATGGTTGATATTTTTATCATGAAGAACAGTAACAGGAAATGAGGACGATGGGAAAATCCTCAAGAATTCTTTATTACAATGGTATTTCACACTTTTTAGTATCAATTATGGCAAAATAAAACTGAAATGTAAATTCTAATATCTTCAATATAAGGAGCTATACAAATGTAACAAAAGTTCTTGTGTTGGTGAAGATGATGATGTATTTCTGGGTTTTGATGAGACCAGAATCATTTATTAAACAGCAAACATACCAGTGGATACCAGAGAATTCTTACATGATGTAATAATTACTTCCCATTCCCACAGGCTAGTTCTTTGTAAAAACAAAGCAACATTTGTGAGATTTAAGGTTCTCACAGAGGTAAGTATAAAGATAAGTCGCTCATCGCCCTGATGATGGAAGCAGTAAGGATCTCTGGAACGTCGGTAAACTTCTGCCAGACTACACAATGTAACAACCCAAAAGAGCCATCTTCATACTCTTATTACTTATTCTACAGGATCTCTGGAATGTCGGTAAACTTCTGCCATATCATATTGTCATCTGGTTAACTTATAGATCCATGGAATGAAAAAATATGTATATATGCAAACAGTTAAATACCATTTCACTAGCGAAAAAAGGAAGACAGCAAATTATTAACCCACAGAGATACCTTAAAGGAAAAGTTTTATTATGAAATCAAATTTAGTGCTCAGCTTCAGTTTCATTATATTACCGTATAACATCGCTTTTGTAAGTTTCCGTTCCCAAGCAACTTCCGGTTCAATTCGTTCGTCCCTTGTGTATCATGGTTTCACGACAAGAAAGTATTGGTGTTGGAAGGATTAAGAAACGTGTTTCTAAGAAAAATAAAAAGTCGTGGAGAAAATATACAGATATTAAAGATGTTGATTCCTTCCTGGATGAGAAAAGACTTGAAGAACGTCTTGGGTATGTTACTTGATTAATATTACTAAAATAATATTAGCGTAGAAGTACTTACATAACCTTATTTTATCACGTGTCTTAATTTCAGAACTCCGTTTGCCGACCGACAAGATCATGAATTATTCCAGATCGACAAAGAAGCGGATGAAGGTCAGAAGGCCGATTTGGTTGTACGTCTAAAGAAACCACAGAAACCAATAAAATGTTTTGCTATTCTTGAAGAACGTTCTGCAGTACCGGACCCAATAAAGAAGAGGTAACATTTTGCTTAGTAAAGTTGGACTAGTTTTTATTATTACAGTGCCCATTTCAATGTTGTTCCTTGAATGTAAACAGAAACCGAGTACGAACACCAGAGGAGAGAAAGCACCCATTAGCTAAGAAAATTAAAGCTGACAGGAAAGAGCAGGGTATTCTCAAGAAGAAGGAAGTTATTGCTCTCAGAAACCGAGCTCTAGCGAAGGCAAAGAAAAACAACAAACCAAAGAAGGGAGAATTCAATGCTGATTTATGGGAAGGTATTCAAACTTTTTTCTGTTCTATGGTTGTTTTAAATTACACTTTTACAAATTATTGATATTATATTGATTGGAATATAATGCTGCAGACCTGATAAAATTCTTAGTTGAAAGTTTTGGGTCTTGTGGCTTGAATTTTAACAGGAAAATTAAATAATTAAGACAGCAAAGTACGCTGATAAAACTCTAATAAATCATTGTCCTATTATTTGTAGTTGTATAGAGGAACCAATACCATAATCTGCAATTTTACTAAAAGTAACAGAATCAGTCACTGTTTGTTCTGTAAAGTCATGTGGATGAAATGTATTACCATTATGTCATTGTTGGTTCAAATACTGTTGCCAGTATATACTCAATAATCACAAAGATTCTCAAAACCAAGTGAGGAGTGTATGAAGTTTTTCTGCATTACCTGAAACTGCACATTCTATACCTCTTATAAAAATAATATTTCCTTTGCTCTTAACAAAAAATTTAATATATAAATATTCCCTCTTATGGATGAAACACCAATACCAGCTTCTGAATCCTCTTTAAACTAGTAAATAATATGAATGTAATTTGTGTGTTCCAGATACTGATAATGGAAATACTGTGGATCTTGATGTTGAATGGTTGACTCCAACAACAAAATATCACATGTTAAAGCATACTGGAAAACTGAAAAAGAAAATGCCTGACAAATTCTTGACAAAGCCATACGAAATCCCTGCAGTGGAATCACCCCATCCTGGTGGGTTCCTATTGGCAAATTTTGTTGAGGGACCAAAACTTTACCTTTCTCCTATAAAGAGTAATGAATACTTTCTTCCTAAAAGGAAGTGAACCATTACCATATGTCAAAGAGCACTAAATCAAGCACTTAATGTGAATATGAAAAATTATAGATACAGAAGCAAATTATTTGCCAGTGACGGTCGGGAATTGTCTTCACAACAAAATAAAAATAGAAGCAAATTATTTGCCAGTGACGGTCGAGTATTGTCTTCACGACAAAATAAAAATGAAAATGAAAGTAAAGTAAAAGGCAAGGCATACTCCACACCAATGCCACTGAACTCATATAACCAAATATTTAAAGCTTTCACTTTTAGAGTAATTCATGATGAATACTATTTTGTTTTTCTTTTAGGTATGTCTTACAATCCATCTTATGGAGATCATCAGAACCTGTTACAAGAAGTGGCCAATAAGGAGTTGATACTCATCAAAGAAGAAAAACATCTGAAGCGTGTAACTTCCAAAATGTTTTCACGTGTTACAGAAGATGAAAAAGAGGTATCCAGATGTGTCAAATTTCCCATAAAAAGTGTGATATTGGTTTATATTTTCTTCCTTCTATCAGTGCACCTGAATGGATCATAGCGAATGAAAATATTGAAAGACAGAGAGAGAGATTATAATATTAGGGGTTTTCTTATGTGTAGCATTCTCAAATATCCTAGCATTACATTAATTTCAAGAAAATAATCATGTAACAAAACTTTGATAGTTCAAACAGCTGATCATGTGACTGGTGCACAGATTTCTCAGAAGTGGAACTGTGTTTCAGCCCATGCAGTTCTTTGTGGTAGTAAATACAAGCAAGTTTATTTAGTGATTTTCCATAACTTTTTCTATTTGATACTGAACACAAGTCATTCATTATATAGAGTTCTAAACTGTCCTTAAAAATTCTGACAAATATAATGTTAGCAAATGCCACAGTACTTTCAGTTAAGTTGGTATAAAGAAGAAATTTTAATTATTAACGCGTATCTTTTTCCTTGGACAGAGTATGAGGATGAAGGAAATGTCGGAAGGTCTTCCTGAAGCAGGTGAAGACAAATTAAAACAGAATTTAGATGAGGGAAGTGAAACTGATAGTGACTACAGAGCTATAAATCCTCCAGCTAAAAATATAAAGAAGACATTAAAGAAGAGAAGGAATATGAAGGAAGCCAAGAAAGAACAAATTCAGCACAAAGAAAGCCGTTCAGAGAAGAAAAAAAATTCTGATATATACAGGTAGGGTTTTGCTTGTTAATGTAAACTTGTTTTCCACGTCTACTTTTTATTTTATTATTATTATTTATTATTAACTGCAAATGGGTTTATACTTGGTGGCAGTGGTGCTACAATAAGACACAACAAAACAATGAGACAGAACAAAA